GGGGTCTGTCCTTGGGGGGTCTCTCCCCCCCCAAGTTTTTTTAAATTTTACCTCTTATTGTATTGGCTGAGGTGTTATGATGATCTTGTTTCAATATTTTAAGTTTATGCCTGTGTGAGCGTCTGACTGGTCGCTGTAATTAGAATCTGTGCAGTAACGAGACCTCTTCTTCATTGTTTCTCCTAGGACCAGGGAGAACGGGAACATCTGTTACCCCCAAATCAGACAATTCCCAACAGGACACCAAATGGGTCTGAGCCAAGTTCTATCAATAATCCAACGGCTCGTACTGATGAGCAGGCCCTGCTCTCCCGTATCCTGGCCAGGACGGCGCAGTGAGTTTTACTTCAATACCTGGCCTGCCTTTCAATGGCACCAAACAATTTCTTTGATGTTCACAGACTCATGGGATACAGTTTGCAAAGTGTATCTGTTTTTATATATATATATATATATATATATTTTTTTTTTTTTATTAACAGGTTGAATAGGTCTCTTTAAAGGGACCCAGTCACTTGAGTATTTCCTAAATAATTATATGCTCGTACTCACTGATATTTTGTTGAAAAATGACAAAGCCCAAGTTGCCACTGTTCACATTTGTCAATTCCTAGCAACCATTGATTGTAATGGCTGTGGGAAGTATCTTCTTGCAGATTGTGTGAGTTGTTTCATGAAAAATAAAGCAAAAACCAAACTTAGGTTCCTTGCAGAGGTCAGCCCAGGAGACATAGTATCCCTTTTTCTTACTGTAAAAACAAAATGTTTATTTCTGTAGCTAAAAAGCATAATTTCTTTCCGGTAACTTTTTTATTCTCATTTTTTCACGGTCCCTTTAGAAATATCATTGATGTATCAGCCGTGGAATCCCAGGGGATGGAACAGCATGAATGTATGGACAGAGCGAGACAGTACAGGCGAGTGTCCTAAGGGAACAACGAGAACTCATAAAATAGGATCTGTTACGTAAACTGTGTTAATCAAAAAAAGCTACATGTACATTGAACTACTTGTATGCAGTCTCGATGTTTGCATGCTAGTCCAGTGGTGGAAGAAAATGGCTTTCTTTTAGCATTGTGATTAATTTATACTCTGGTGGGATAATTGTCAACTCAAGTTAGAATAGATGCAACAAAAAGGATATACAAAAATATTAGATATACTTATCAATTGTACAGAAACAGCTTCCCACCGAACACCTCCCAAATAATGTTTCCTGGCCATATCCATGGCAGCACAACAATGGGTAGCTCTTCCCTATCCCTAACCAGACAGGAACCTAATTAAAACAGAAGGTATAAGTAACCCCTCCCACCCTCAGTCTTTTTGTTCCTGTCCTATCCCTAGGACAGACTTAGTCATTTTTTTTCTTTTTGGCTTACCTGAGGGTTGTTACCATCTCCCTCAAGGGAGTTCAGCCTCTCTCCTTTGGGCAGTCTCCAGTACATGGCCCTGTACAAAGGTTACCCCTTTAGTGACCGGGGGTCCTAACTTGCTGTGACCCTAGGGGTAGCAAGATCATGCCATCACCATGATTCCTGCAGTGACCAAAAGGTAGCAGGCTGGGCATGCACATACAGAGCACATGGATTGCAAGGATTAATATGACATTGACTAACATTCCATCGCTGAAGGAGTTAATGTGAGACAGACTAACATTCCATCGCTGAAAGGGTTAAAGTATAACTCACTATCTTGTACTTTCCCATGGATTTACTTGCTGTGACCCTAGGGGTAGTAAGATTATGCCATCATCCTGTCTCCTGCAGTGACCAAGGAGTAGCAGGCTGGGCAGGCACATACAGAGCAAATATATGGATATAACCCCTTCTACCCTTCATCGGTTTCATCTAAACTGTAAGAGATTCCTGCTAATCTGAATTTCTATCAAACTTATTCCTAGGCTTCTGTGTCTTATTCCTAGGCCTCTGCTTGGCCTTTTAATATAGCAGCTGGATTAATTTATTCCTAGGCCACTGTCGGGCCTTTTAATATAGCCACTGGAGTCACTTATTCCTAGGCTTCTGTATCTTTTAATATAGCCACTGGATTACTTATTCTTAGGTCATTGCTGGGCCTTTTAAAATAGCAGCTGGATTAATTTATTCCTATGCCTCTGTGTCTTTTAATATATCCACTGGATTACTTATCCCTAGGCCTCTGTTGGGCTTTTTAACTGGAGACACTTAATAGGCTCATGTGTCTTACTCCTAAGCCTCTGTATCTTTTAATATAGCCACTGGAGTCACTTTTTCCTAGGCTTCTGTGTTTTATTCCTAGGCCTTATGGCTTTTAATA